CGTTTTAGAGGTAGGAGTTCCACTTCCCTTCATTGGGCCCTAGATGTATATGGTTTGCAGGTCTTGTTCGTCTCAAAAGATCAAGCAAAACCACCTCATCTGAACAAGTAAATCTATGTAAATCTATCGCCCTAACAACCCATCACTGTACAAAGGTGATATAGGTGTTGTTCCATCAACCTCACGTTGCTCATGTACCTGAGTGTGTGTGTGTGTGTGTTTGCTTCTAATCATTACACGATCAATCTTTCCACCCATCTATCTATGGCAACCGCGATGTTCAATGAACTTGTGTTCCACTCACAAAGCTATGGGGCAAACATTGTCTTAGAAGCAATTGTTGACCCTAGGGAGGCCAACACAACAAAACTCACCCGAACGCTGACCTCACACCAAACACACAGTCTCACTTTTCAAGCAACAATGGGTGGAGAGGCTTGAAGTTGGAAATGATGCACATCGTTGGTGTTTCAAAATAGCACCATGTGCAAAATACAGGCTTCAAGGTTCTTTGACTCCCCGTGTTTTCCTATACATCTCACCTCTTTAAACCATGCGCAGCCTCTCCATGTTGGTTGCTATTGAAACACCATTTTTGCTTCGCTTGCTACTCATGGGTTCCAACTATGAAATCGGTCCGCAAAAGGGATTCTGGGATTCCGGCTGACTATAGGGGATGTGCGGAAAGTGAGCGACGTCAATTTCTTGGGTCCTCTGCATTGCTCCAGAGCGCTTGTTCACTTGCTTGACAAGTCCAAAAACGGTGTTGTAGAGGGAACGGGACAAACTTCTTGGTTCGGCGTGATTTGGCGGCTCTTCTCCATGTTTGATGCGCATTCCGCATTCACTTCAAGATTTGCACAACCTTTTTCCAGGTGACTCTTCGGTTTCATGGCAGCGGTCCGCAGGAAGCCCGATCAAACGGCAGAGAGTGTTGACGCTGCACATTTGGAAGGACATATCATTTTCTTAAAATGCAGGTCAACAATAAACGTGCCCCTGAGACCCTGATTCACCAAAGCGTCAAAGCGCCTTTTTTAGGGACCGTCTACAGATCCATCTGCCACCGCGCTAACAGGAGCGATGCAAGCAATGCTATCTTTGAATACTTTAAGTTTGCTTCACCAACATCATCTGACATTTATGCTAATGCAAAGTAGGCCACGTCCCACGCTGCAAGTTCGGGCATGCTGTATGTGTGCACCTCCCGCTCATGTCCGAAACAAAAGCACACATTGGGGGGGGCGTCCCCAACCAAAAGCACAGATTTGGTCCGATCCTCACGCAAGGGGCATGATGAGCATGAGATAGCATGAGTGTGGGTTGGAAGTGGTCCACGAAAAACGCGAAATACGGGATGAGTCGGACATCAAAAGGACTCACAAAGTAAGTGGCATCACATGATCACCACCCATCCAAGCTTCCGAAGGTGCTTCTACAACAATAACTGGCTGCATCTACTTCTGTGTACAAATATATAAAATTACAAAACAATATATACACATAGAGCATTGGCAATATCTTGCGTGAATCCCCGAAATCAACCGAGTCTTCCCATGATCCCGCCAGCCCTAGTCACAACAGCCGTCATGGGAAGAGGATTCCAGATGCTCACGGATGGAATGTTGCCCACGCCCGGAAGGACTTGGTTCTCATAGCCCGTGGTCAGCAAAGGAGGCACTTGCAGAAATGCCGTATTGATCCTCAGCGTGCAACGATCGAAAGCCTCACCCGAAGCCGTCTGAGACCGTCTGAGACGCTGTGCGCACTCCCTTAGGTGCAGCGATCCAAAGCCCCTTTGGAAGAGAGACAAGAAAGGACGTGATCAGGAGGCAGTGGGGATCGATCCGTCGAGCGTTCTGATCAACAAAAAAAAGGCCAAGGATCATTAAGAGCCAGAGGACCCTGAAGGACATGTCAACCAAGAGGAGGAAGCCTGCATCGTCATAGTCCCACCTGATCCACGATGTGCAAATGACAAGGCTCATGACTCATGAGTCTTTTTTTTCTCATGGGGTGGCCCTCACCAAATAGCGATGTTTGGTCATAGTTTGGACAACAAAGGCACAGGCTTCAAAGCAGATGGCACAAGCCACCACAGGGGATGAAGATGAATGCCCGTTTAACTAATGTCATTTTGGAGCTTGTGCCATCTGTATAGACCCCCAAACCGAACTGGTTTAACTCCCAAGCCGATGTAAAGAGTGTGAAGACCATATCACATGCAAATTCGGCAGCCACAAAGAGTCCGGTTTGGGGGGTATACTCAACTCTTCCAAATGTCCCGCACTTCTGCACTTCGGTCTTGATCCTCCAAATTGGATCCCACTGGCAGCCACAGAAGGACTGACATCCATCAACGATCAGGAGCATCAGTAGGATCCTCACGGGGAGCCAACAAGGACTTAAACATAACTTCAACAGCTGGGAGCCGCCTAAATATCTCTAAAGAGCCCAAAACGTTCATCAGGACCAGCCCAGCGTCACGAAGACCACCAGCAAGATTCGAGCAAGACGAGCAAACATCAAAGAAGCATTGACATATCCGTCTGACAAAGCGTTGGACATAAAATCCTTAGGATCTCCACGGGAAAGCCACGAACTAATCCGTGGGGGGAGAACTCGTGACACTCCCAAGTGGGAGCCTTTGACGTGGGTAGGAGCGATGTCATAGTCTGTGACCAGAGTGCTGGTGGACATATTCTATCAAGAGCATGTTCACGCTGAAACTCGTAACAAGAGTGGATAAAGAAAAGGACTTAGGCTTGGCTGGATTTTTCTGAGAACCACAGGTCTTGAACTTCAACAGTCCGAGTTGCATCCCCACACATCCCCTGAAGAGATACTACCAAGACATACCATGTTGCTTGGCCGAGAGTCTGAGGTACTCAACCACTTCTTGCAAGCTTCTTTGTAATCACGGTACCAGGTACCCACAACTTCATGCCGTAAGACCTCCACGTGATTTCTTCTCAGCTTCCTGGCTGCAAGCATCTCGGCGTTCCAGCCATAGGGGTCCACCGTGGTCAAGGGCATTTGCATGACCTCGGGGCCACAGTGGCAATCGCGGCCACCACGAGGAGACGAGACCCGATCAACGCCTCTCTTTCTTCGGAAAGAACATGAGCATCTGCGTGTCTGTGCCAACTGATCAGTTCTAAGTCAGAAGGAAAACCACCGATTTCACTATGAATTCCTCCAAACAGGGGCTTTTCCACTTGGATTCTTTCAGGAGGTGTAGCCCTTTCACCCTTTCAATGCTTGTCCAACCCACTGATACGCCACACATGTGACTCCGACCGGGGCCACTCATCGACCACTCCAGTCTTCCGGGTCATGTCGAGTCTTGATGAATGAACGCCCCATGTGAAGAGGCTCTTCAATGAGTCTACATTTTATCAAGAGTCTACATGGATTTGTCTGATTTTTTTCTCAACTTTGTTGGTTGAAAGTATGGTGGTAGCTCTCTCCAAGTCGTATGGTCTTCACCAAAGGCGATCATTCGGAAGTTTCTACAATTTGGGCGGGTCACAAATATGACTGTTTTGGGGGCCAATGAGATATTTGGCTCCTAACATAGTCCCAAAAGACACAAACATATGTCTTATCTTACCTATAAATTTGTATCATTGCATAACATGTATACTAAATGTATTCTCATGTATTCTTGTCTCCAGCTATCTCCAGCTTATCATTGTAGCAACAAGAAATCTGAATCGACTTGTCCGGATGACAAGATAGAGTTGCACAAGCTCTTTGAAACTGATGGAGGCTTTGTCATGTTGATCCGCATCCTGTGCGGCATGCATGAGGACGGTCTGACGCTCCAACAAGCCCAGCATGGTAAAAGCGCCGGGCGCTTGCGCCAAGACCCACACAACACCGTCCATGTCATTACCTTGGATTGGGAGATTACTGAACATTTTGCTGGACTTGATTCATGAATGACATCCCCCCAAAATAGAAATAACATAAACATCAACAAACTACAGAAAAAAAATGAAGCCCTGACACACGGAAAAACAAACATATTCTCTTGGTCTTCAAAGCTGGCACTGCTGTTTGGGCTCAGACCTGGACCTGGTCCTTTCAAAGGAACATGAAAACAACAATGAGATTATGCGGCATCTAAGGCGCCACCACACTTCTTACTTTTTTTCATCAATGACAACTGATCTTCATTCAAGTGAACATCGTTCCGGACCAAGTCATGCAGCACCGTTCTCGCGAAGGCCTCTCGCACTTCTTTCCGATAGTCATTCTCCTCTGGTACCACCTTGCAAATTAAGTCTCCACTGCCCCATAGGAAACCGCTCTCCAAGAGGAGTCGAACGATGCCCACCTCGGGAAGTGCCAAGGTAAAAGTACTTGTTCCTGACGACTTAACTAGATCAGATATCAACTATCACTATCGAATATGTGATATAGTGTGCGTGGCCTGACAACATATATCACTTATACTTCTATGTACTTAATGTAACTTAACTATACCACAACAAGTGTTTAAGTCTGGGTGAACAAACGCGGCCAGGCAGTGGAACGACACCAAAAGGACGTCAACTCATTTGTCTTGCTGGATCCAAGATGTGAAGTTGAGAGGGTACACATGGGTACACTCCTCTGTTCATCATCATGGTTATGTGGATGGCACCACCTGTTTGGTAGGATGGAAAATGGCCATGTAACCATGATGATGAACAGAGGAGTGTAAGTCCTGGCATGAATCTGCAATGGCCCATCCAAGCGGCACGTCGTCGTGCCATTGAAAATTGATCTCCTACGATCCACTGCTCGTACAGAAAGCCCATGAGCACCCGCTCGTTGGCTTTCCGGGTCATGTGTAAGGCCAGCTCCAGTACCTTCAACTACAGAACATAAACTCTGACTCTAAACCATTTCTGATAATGCAAGTCAGACCCACATCCCTGCTAGAGGAAACTGTTTCAATTCCATATGCAAATCGGTGAATAACCAAAGGAGCATTTGGTTGGTGCATGACATGCGTAGTTCTTATTCCATCATGCGTAGTTCTTCTTCCGAACGGAAGCTCAGCCCATCTAGAGATACTTCATGATGTTCGTCCAAACAAAACAAGGCTCTCCCGACACTAAGAAGAGAATTTCATGGTCCAAAGTCTTAAGCACTTGTCAACGTTCGTGCCGCCCAAGTCTTAAGCCCAAAAAACGACCGTTGATCAAGACACTGGACAGTTCAACGAAGAACCACTTGCTCGGACCACTGGAACGGGTCTCTCTGACTGGTTCTCTCCACCAACTCACAGGTGTTCAATTCAGCTCCTGAAGACCGCACCCAGAAGGAGAACCCCAAAAAACGGCTCTACTGAAGACTCTTGAATCGTCGGCGCCAGGTGAGGCAAAGGGAAATGCCTTCACAGTTGGCTGCGGCCACTGTGAGCAACACCAAGGAACGGTGCTGTTATTGAGTTGGTTCCTCGCTGTGTCGTCGTGGCTATCGTACTTGGGCTCTTCGTACCACACAGGAGTCCTTGCCAAGTAGTCCAAATCGCTGCAATGCATCTGAGCATAGTCTTCTGCATTGTGGAGCTGGTTCAAGTTGTGGACATACGCATTGGGTCTCTTCCAGCTTTCCAGCAGGCTCTTCAAGTTCCAAAAATCACCTCCAGTTTGGCTGGTGAGTTCCCAGGATGCAGAATAACACAAAAACTCACCAAAGAGTGAATGGAGCTGATGGAAAACAGAGGCTGATTCAAGTCGGTCCACAATGGTCCACACACCTACACAGTCAAAACATCCTACCCAAATACATGTCCAATGCCTACGTAAAACCTGAAAAAAGGGAGCCGCTGCGTTCAATCCAAAGCCCCCCATCAATCGTCTACTTCTCTGAACAAATGACACATCATCAATCCTCTCAACTGAGTTTGTTATCAAGTCAGGTCCAGGTCTGCAATCCCCCGACCATCGCACCCTCCAGAATGGAACCCCTGGAGGAATGTTGAATAGTGTATCAAAAGCCGTTCTTGATGCAAGGAGTGCTGCCCGCTCCGAGTAGCATCTCTTACATCACAATAGCTAGGAATCGAGTTCCCAATGAAGGAAAGCGATGAACGATTGAAACACAAGCCGAGAACCGTTGCACCTCATCAGAAAAGAAGGTTCACAACATAAAAAGGCAGTCCACTCCCGCATGCGCTGCCCTGCTTTGTTGTTGCTATTTTGGTACTGGACTGCTCTTGGTGCGTGTGTATCTCCGGCATGCAAAAAACATCCGATTCCGCAACTCCTCCACCACTGCCCCCTTCCCAAAGCGATCCTTCAGAAAATCAAGACAAAGCAATGTCGGCTCATTGACACTTGAGCTTAAATCCCACATAATCCCATTCAGCGTGCCCCGAATTCTTTGTCCGCTTTGGCCCGTGTGCTGGATTTTTTGGCGGCCGATCAGATCTTGGTGTGCTGGAAGGGGGGGGTGATGCCAGTGTGCACTGGAAGGGGGGTGATGCTAGTGTCCACTAAAAGGGGGCGAGCCCTGGCAGCATTAACGAAATGATACGCCGCCTTGAGGTACCTCTTGAATAGCAACCTGCAATTTGGAAAGAGCACATGCCGGTCTCCGCAGAAATTTGAGAGCGTTCTAATCTGGCAATCTCTGCAAACGAGCATGTTTTGTCCAGTGTGCTTGAAGCAGCTGTGGGTCGATGTTCTTTTGTTGATGCTGTCAATGATGTGCAGGGTGGTGGATGTGAGGAACGACTTCAATGTGTTTGGTTTGCAAAAACGTGTTTTACATCAATCCGACATGTTCTTTGAGAATGCATACCCATAAAATCTGGTATGGTACAAATGATCATAAATCAAGTCTTGTCGCCATCAATGATGTACTTCTTAAGCTTCTCAAGCTCCTGGTTCAACTTCACCTGGGCGCAATCGCGCTGATTCTGCCAAAACGTCTCACTAACGCATGATTCAACCAGGTTATTGCTTTTGAGGGGGGCCTATTGCTTTTTTGCAGGTTTCATTCCATGTCATGAAATTGACCGCCACTTTTTACTCAATTGTCATCGCAGAATTGATGGTTGCTCATGTGGATGATCTAAAGCCCCCCAAATCCCCATTCTCAAAGTCCTGCTAAACCAATCCTAGGTCTTACACTCCCTGCAAACATTATGAAGATGTGAACTGGCTCCTTGCATGCCCTTGGACACCCGTTTTCCGAATACCAAACAGGTGGCACCATACACGTAATCATGCTCGTTACAGGATACCGGCGTTCCAACTACTCCAAGCCTTCCAACGAGGCACCGCATCTCGATGATGCTTACACTTCACCCTTGTGGGACTTTGCCCAACGATGCTGGCAGGGGCGAGTAAGGCGCGAGAAGCAGCCACAGCATCTCTGCTCAGCGTCTGCTCGTGGCTCGCGACGTCCTACCAAGGGATGCAGGCGACATCACTCCCAAAACCACAAAGGATGCCAAAAACTGCTCTCTCATCCAGCTTCGGCACAGGATTGACACACAGCCGGGCGATGTATGGCCCCAACCCAGCACATCACACTGTCTCTTTTACGATTGTATAAGGCTCTAAGGAGAGTATATATATATATGTATTTTGTCACTGATATCACCCACCGTTCAACAGCCTTCCAAACCAGTGGCTTCCACGGCTTACCGGTTGCCCAGTTGCACAGGTTCATCATCACTTTGAGGCTATCAGTATCTTGGTGGAAGTCAATGGGAAAGGATTACTGGCGGAAATTTCAACCAGTGGAAGAACTAACTAATGGACACAAACAACAACCAAATTTGTCAATCATACTTGCCAACAAACATGATCTTTCAACTTTTCCAAGCCAAGTGTATCAATGAGGAAATCAATGAGGAAATCTTAAGCCGCTGACATCTCTCCATAATTATCTTTCTCTCTCTCTCTATAAAGTTTGGACATATTTGGAATAATCGTTGAACATGGTACCCCATCATGACGTGATAGTCATTCCATCTGCAACGTAGCAATAGCCAAGTTCAAGGACACCCACTCCTGCACCGCCTTCTCATAAACCAA